AATGCTACAGGCCTCTGTAGCCTCTCCCAGGAGCCCATCCAGCAAGCAGCTGTCAACCACACACAAGTCCCTTGACATCCTGGGCAAAAGGTGTGGTGAGCATCCCTGTCACCTGAAGGAGGCAAGTGAGCAACAACTACACCAAAGGTGCTGGAGGAGCCTGAGGCTGGCCGTTGCCAACCGCAGCATCTTTAGGAGATGCAACAGCATTTGCCTCCGGGACAGGATGCCAGGTCTCCCAGGTCTCAGCAGGGCTACGCTGTACCCGTCAGTGCTCTCAGGGACACCTACGACGGCAAAACCAAGCCAGGCGCAAAGCTCTGGGTATTAGAACAGACACATGGCTCAGCTTACACCCTGTGTGGCCACTTGAGGTCATCAGGAGATGGGTCTGGATGGAGCAGGGACCGGGAAGGGGTAAAGGAGGCAACTGAAGTGAATCTGAGGAGTTTAGGCTTTTGACAAGACGGTTGCAGGCCCACGAGTTGATTGCTCTTTTCATTCTAGACTGAATGCAAGCAATCTGCCTCACGCTTTACCTCAATGCCCCGAATAAACAGGGATGGAGAGTTTAACTGGTAGAAACTGTTCCACGCACCCGGGCTGAAATAGGTCACATCTTTTACTTTGCTAGTCTCCGGCGCTCCACGGGCGTTTTAGCAGAAATCCAGCATCTCCTTCTGGAGGTGTCTCCCCCCCGAATATTATATTAACCAAGAACGCAGGAAGGCTTATGGAATTGGAAAGGAAGGGTCAGTTCAGATTCCACAGAGAATAAGGAATGGACAGGTGACAGTCACCTGCATCCGCAAAAAAGGCAGCCCTGTCGAAATGAGGCTTCGACAGTCTGGATTCTTCCAGAGGCTGCCAGCCAAGCCTGCTGTCTTGAGATCGTGTCTGGCCTACCGGTGGGCTCCAAATACTGCCCACCTTTTGAACCCAGTCACTGACACGGCCAGGGTAGCAGCCTGGCCCAGGAAGGCTGCCTCGACACCTGCCACCTCGCGGGTACTGCACATGTGCAATCTCCTCTCCCTCCCCCAGTCAGCAGGGCTGCCTGGAGACTCTCAAAGGAAGACAACCTTCTGGGGATGTCCCTCCTACCTCCACCTTCTGAAAGAAGGCTCCGCAGAGGCTCCAAGGTGACACATCCTTTGGTGCGAGGTTTGCCAGGGAGTCCCAGGGGTGCCTGCAAAGAAGAAAGGAAACAGATGCAATCTTTGCTGGAACTTTCCACATCAGAACCAAAGTTTGGAAAACTGCAGCTTTGTCTGCTCTGCTCTACCTCCTTTGAGTGCTTCATCCACGTCACCCTACTGTCCCTTTCAAGGACGCTCTCCCCCTGCTCACCCCTCCCCCGACTCTCCTCTTTAAGCCCCTACTTTTCCCTCCAAGTCTACCTCGGTTTCCCCTTTCTATGTCCCACCTCTCCTTTAAAAAAATGTGTTTTTAATCCGTAGTTGAAATTTCTAAACATGAACTTATTACATAAATCCTGGTACAACTTTCTAGCTGCGTGAGTGGGAGAGCAATAATGCAAAATTACCCGAGAAGGCACTAAATAGGTCGTGATTGCTCAAGCAGAAAAACTCATTTAAATGATTTGAGAAGTTATTATAACACAGTCTTTTCCCAGTGACCTTCAAATATTTATCTTCACCCATATAGCACACATACTGTTATAGAAACCCAGACACAATGTTAGAACTAGCCATCCAAGATTTTAACCAACAAACCCATTACTGTTGGTACATGAGTTTTTGGTTTTTTGTTTTTTGTTTTTTCATTGGAGTATAGTTGGTTTACAATGCTGTGTTAGTTTCAAATGAGTTTCTTTTAAAAGTGAATTCGGTTCTATCCTTTGTATTATCAAAAATGAAAAAAATTTGCATATGTACTCTGCAGGACAATGTGAACTAAAATACACAGAGCTACAAGAAGGGGCTGTGGAGAATGAATGGGCAGACATATAGGAAGCACTTTGATGGACATCAACAATTCTCTGGCTATGGATGGGAGAAAAACCCATCACCGGTTTGTTGGAAGATGGGCTCAAATAAAGGCAGGCCAAATGATAGGCCATTCCTCCACTGAGGTTCTGGAGGCCCACCCCAATCCTGTCCTCAAGAATGCTTTCTTCTTTGGGTTATTTTTTGTTTCCCAGCATCCAAATATATATATATATATATATATATATATATATATATTTTTGTGTGTGTGTGTGTGTTATGCGGGCCTCTCACTGTTGTGGCCTCTCCCATTGCGGAGCACAGGCCCCGGACACGCAGGCTTAGCGGCCATGGCTCACGGGCCCAGCTGCTCCGTGGCATGTGGGATCTTCCCGGACTGGGGCACGAACCCGTGTCCCCTACATCGGCAGGCGGACTCTCAACCACTGTGCCACCAGGGAAGCCCCATCCAAATATATTTATACACAATCAGCAAACATTAAATTTTCATTAAAATTTTGAAAAAAAGTAAAAATAAAACAGAATGAAATTTCCTGGAATAGTGTAAACTGTGCCTTAAACACATCAGTGAACTGCAAATGATTTTAATCACCCGTTGGCTCCAAACTTGTATTTATTTTGTATCTAGCTGGAGAACCAACTCCTTGTGGAGACCATCAAAATCATTATTCTCCATTAAAAAGAACTTATTGAGATGAAATTCGTACAAGAGAAAGTAACCCCTTTAAAACGAACGATTCAAGGAAAGGTGGTGGGTTCACGGCTCCTTCTGAGTTTCACCTCTCCCCCCACCCCCTTCTCTGTTTCTCCCTCACTTTCCCTTGCCCTCCAGCTGCGTTACAGGAGAGCTTCGAGAAAGAACTTTAGACTGTCTAAAGAGCCGGGAAGGATGTAAAGCTGTACGGAGTCCAGCCCCCTCCCAGGGTCTCGCCTTCTCGCTCCCTCTTGCTTCCACCTAGCCGTGTCTTCCTTCTGGCCTCCTCATATCTCCTCCACAGCCCGCCCTTCACCCCTCAACGTCCTTTTTTCCGCTGACCTCCATTTCTCACCCCCTGGCCATGTCCTGGGCTCACTCCTGTTCTCCAT